TTGAATCGAATCAACTTCAAAACGATCATACCATCTCATTATTCCTCCTTTTAATTCGGGGTTTCTTCAAAACAAGATCTATCCAACCCGCTGATTATAGGAAGGATGCATTCAGACATCTCTGGTTAGGCCACAGCGCTCAGTAGTTCGAAAAAGCCAATGTGTATCCACCCGCTTCTCATGGTCCTCTATTCTCGATGAAGATCTGCAATATGTGGGCTAACGTAGTTTTTTGGCAATTTTTCAGATTCTTTCATTATTTCAGCATATACCAAAGCTTCGTTTGCTCGATTGACGTCAAATGCGCAACGTTCGACTTCTGATCACTGATATTCTTGTTCTACTACTTCAAATTTGTGTTATCATTTCTGCTGGTTTGATCCTCTTCCTGTTTTTTAGGTAAGTCTTTCAAACTTATGCCATAGCTAGTTCGGTCATCTAACCCTTTTTCTAGAAATAAAAAGCTACGCAAGAAGCCTAGCCATCGGTTACTACTTTTTCTGACATCTACTGATTTCCTTCATGCAACAACAGGTATGCAACTTGCAGTAGCAGCTGAGTAACTGTCAAATCAATGACCCTCAAAAGCCAGGCGTCTTGCCCACAACTTATTCCTTGGGAACCCCCAATGGAGTATAAGGGCTCAGCTCCCATTCAGGACATGTACAAGACGGACGTCGAGCTAGTTCTTTGATAACTCCCTGTTTGAAAGAAGAAATCTTCCAGAATTAACCAATTCCATTTTTGAGTTGCGCCCTTTTATCCTCCCAGACGAGTCTAGCAGCACCTACCTGACCCGGGAAGGGTAAAAGATCGTGGGAGTATTTTAATGCGTATGTGAATAGAGGTGGTCAGCCGATGTTTAGGCCATTGCTTTTATCCTCCCGAACAAGTCTAGCACAAATAACTGACATTGGAGGATTGAAAGGCCTGGACCGAGAGTAATGCAACCAATCCTCGGGCCATGATGGGTATTAGGTAATGAGGGCCATTGCACCAGTATTTTTTTTAAATTTCCCCACATAACTACTTTATTTCCAGATAGTGTAGGTTTTTCGTTAATGAGTGAAACTTTTCAGCCCTATTCTACTCCATATATCTGACAGCAAGTTGGGATCCAACAACTATTGACTTGAATCCATATATTGTTTTGATTTTTAGTACACCTTTAGTAATCCAGCTAAAAATCAACTTAACTTTGACTATATCCATAGCTTTTGAAAGGACCCTGGTGAGGATACATTCTTATTAGACTTGTAAAAAATGTTTTTCAGAAATGAATTTGCCCTTTCAGGCTCTTGCCTTTCCCATGACTTACCGTAAGCTGTCCTCTTCCACATATGCAGCCTACAGCCTGCTAATCGGCTGCTTACTCGCAGTTCTTGATCTCGTCGTCGACTTTATTCTCAATCCTTTCAATCAAAAACCAAATTGTGCAGCTATTGGTTGCTTTGTTAGCAAAGAATTTCACTATTACTGGGGATCCAGTAACATGGTAAGTCAAGAGATTGAATTTAAACTGAAAATGTGTTTGTAGGCATCATTAGTGTACTATACTCATTCAGGCGATGGGGTCCGTAGTTATTGTCCTAACAGCTGTGGTTATGGCTAAGTTACGCTCCATTCAGAAGCATTCTCAAAACGCTCAACTGGCTCCGGCAGTTGGCAAGGAGTCGAACAACTTTGCGCAGGTATGTTTGGTCAAAGAGAATGTGCCCAGGGGTGAATGAGAGGGTAAAGTGGACTGTCGTGTCTATCGGACGAGAGCAAGAGGATCCTTTCACTCTTCGTTCACAACATAAATCAGTAGGGTACTTATCAATCTGAGCGCTTGCGAGAAGTTCTGCTACCGTCTGCAAGGGCTGGGAATCGAATGTGAATTGAGCCTAAAAGACCATCCCCCTGATGGGCAAAGGTATCGTCGGAGCGGTTGATATGCCGTCTTTCCAAGTCGTTGTAAGATATCCTCTCGGGATTCCCTTCTAATCGAATGCTGCACTACCTCCCAAGAGAAGAGGTTTTCTAAGAAGTAAAGAGAGCTCCTTCATTCTCGTATGAGACCCAGTTGATACAGAGATGTGAAGCAGGAAGTGGATACGGTATGAGGCCCATATAGGAAGTAAATGGTCGCACTGGGCATTCCTT